TGAAACCGCAAAAAGTTGGTTGGGAATTTCTGAGAACCCCAATTTGAGTGACCTTTTTATAATTCTGAAATGATGACCTAAAAACAAGAAAACAAATTCGAAAAAGAACTTGTGTTTTGGTTTTCAGCTGGGGGCTAATTTTTGATACTGTATCATCTCTGGCAAACTCACCTGGATGCTGTTGATCTTTGGAAAATCACCATTGTTTTACCACTTGGCTATGGGTCAAGTAACTCTACCCCTCAAAATGAGTGCCACAACATCAAATCGCAACGAACAAAACAGTCGTAATGAATCTGGCCCCTACCATCTCTCAAATTTTGACCCACATATTGCTACACATATTATGTCAAACCACCCCCTTGCCTTGCACATCCTAACAAAAAATGAGTTGCAAGACCAAACCGGACCAAACCCAAATTGTGGAACCAAACCTTTGAAAATAATTGTTTTGGAACTGAAAACCTATTCTAGGAAGAATACTTAGTTTTGCTAAGCCACAAAAGTGCAAACATCTTCTATCAAAACCCAAAAGGCATCAGAAGCAGCCGCTGATCGAAAAAAACTCGTTTTTTACTCTGAATATGTGTACTTTGCGCATTTTTGCAATGTTCCAACATGAATATCTTCTCATCCAAACAAAGTCAAACAAAAAACAAACAAAACCTCTCACTTTTCGAACGGAGAAAAGACGTGGGATCTTCAATGATGTTCGATAATCTTCGATGATCTTCAGGCATATATATATATATATATATTGACTATGGATATATATATATATGACAGATACCCTCTGGTAAACAAACATAGCTATTGAAAATGGCCATAGAAAGTTCGTTGATTTATGCTATAAAATGGTGGATCCATAGATTTTTGTCCCATGGCCATCCCTTCGCACCTTGGTCCAGGGCAGGTTTGGCATGTGTCGGCTGGTGGCCTCGATGGGCGCGTCGCAGCGGAAGGCCCAGTTGTGGCCACCTGAGGCGACAACTGGAACCATGGTGTAATAGTGGTTAAGTATGGTTAATACTTGTTCATAGTGGTTTAGAATGGTTACTTATGGTAAATTAAACTGGTGATTAGTGATTTTTCTGGTGCTTAAGAGTGGTAAGTAACGATTAATACCTGTGTATAATGGTTCATAATGGTTGATTATGATGAATGTAGTAATGTAGTAAATACGATGCCATAAACCTACCATTTGGGAATTGTTTATACCTTCTAGCACCTTTAAAAATTGTGATTTTGGGGATGGTTAATTATTGGGTTTACCACGTGAAAAAAGGACATATGGAGGTTTCCGAAGTCATGGGGGTACGCCCAAATCCAAAGTTAGACCATTTTGGTATTGAAACTACCACAGTTTTGGGTACATTTGAAGAATCCTCTGAGGATTTAACATGAATTAATCATGGGAATGTTGTGATGACTTCCAGAACTGGCCTAGCTGGGAATGAATCAAGACATGGGGAGAACATGATCTTTGGGATGTATATCATCAAACGATGGAAGATTGATGGTGATTCTATAATAGGGGGTGCTTATGTATATATATATATTTATACAATGGGATATGAATTTATATCGTACGTATATGATATATGTATAAATACATGTGTATATGTATATGGCGGTATATATATATATGGTGTATATATATATGTGTATTGAATACATGTATGTATGTATATATATATATGTATGGTGTATGTGTATATATATACACACATATGGTCCTATATGGTACGTATATATATATATATCCTAAGCGTCCAAACACTGCAAAAATGTAGGGTCCAAATTGGTCCAAGTTTGAACCTCGGCGAGATTTGGCGATATACTCTTTGAAATAGTTGTTATCTAAAACCTTGCGTTTTCCCAGAAAATGTTGGAATGCCAAGGGCATGCCAAGTACAACAGGTTCATTCTAAGACCATTTTTAACAAAATACACAGGGATCCGGGATACGGTACTATCGATCTTGAGTTCAAACAGTTTGCTAAAAGGAATCTGGAATCAGTGTCTACTCTCGGAAGCATCCGAACATCTTACCATCGCCTGGCTGCGTGTTTTCTCGGTTTGTTGCCTTAAAAAGAACATGTTTTGATATTTTTGTAAAACAAAAGGATCAGGAGAAGTATTCGGGCTGACACCCGTGACAATCCTGTGATTATCCCATGACAAACCCATGATAGCCCGTGAAAATTACATGGGTCAAAACCCTGCTTGAATGATCAAACATGATCAAACCAAGTGCATCTATGTTGTGTTTTTATCATCGCAACACTGAATTCAAAAAAAAATGAAAAAATGTTGCTAATTTCTGGGCTGTAAATCAAAGTCTGCCCTTGCCAAATCTCGATTAGATGGAGTGCCTTTATGATGCTGATGGTTTGTTCTAAATGCAGCATCATGTGAGGATGCAAACCACACTAACGATAGGCTCGAAAACAAAAACCTCGGGTTTTGGTTGGAAACTTGGTGCTTTTATATGCTTTTATGATCTTTTATGTGCACCCCGAGGCTTTTTAAGCGGGTTTGGAGGCTCAAGGTATAGTTTTTTCTGATCCTTCCGTAATCAACCATGGCCAGCTGGGAAATCCCTGAACTAGCCATGGAGGTTTTTTCTTCATCCACTTCCAGAGGGTATCTATATGTTGATCTCAGCCAGAAAGTCGCAGAAATTTAAGCGAAGTGAGCAGCTTCGAAAGTATATTCAAGTGAATTAAGACTATGTAAAATCTATATCTAATATGGAGAGACAATTTGGACGATAACCAGCAACAAAGATTTGCCGTGCTATGTCTGCACCTGGGACTTGATGTCATGTTGCTGGAGGGAGTGTAATCAATACCAGATAGATCCACAAGGTTTGGATATATGGGAGATCTTGCTGGACTTAACCAGTCTGTGTAATTGAATAAGAACAACATGTGTATATATATATATATGTATGTGTATTTAATTGTATTTATATATGTATAGATATATCTATATATATGTATATATGTATTTTTATATCTATGTAAGTATTTATGAATATATATATATATGTATTAATACAATGGTTTCTGGATCATACAAGCTAGGCAAGCAGGTGCACAGCATCCGAGGTCAGCGCCGTTCACTGGCACAGCCTCTTTGTCAACGTACTCGATGATGTCCTACCGCATCGGATGCTGAATGATTTCCAAAAGTCTCTTAATCATTCAGTAGATTTCAAAGAAATCTACAGGAAACCATCATGAATGAGCTAAATATGGGGGTTTTCCAGCAAATGTTCCTATCATCCAATGCTGAGCCTCAATCCTCAAGTATCAACTCCTGAAGTTTCAGTAGCTACATCCCCAGTGAATAACATTGCCCTATCTATCCCTATCGCCATTGCCCATACCATCCATATGACTGTTGAGTAAATTTCATCCCATCCTCCTAAGGGTTCTGGGGGGTTGTTAAAAAAGAAATGGGGGAAGGGCTTCGTTCAGTAAATATTCAGGACCATCGAGCGTTACTGTATCATACTTACTAATCTTACGGCAAGACCCTATGGTTTGCCCGCAAGGTTAGAATGGAGTTCAAATATGATCCTTCGACGTGCTCAAAAACCTGCACAGGGCCAGTGTTTTGGTAGTTACCAGACGACGAACCCTAAACCCTAAAACCCCAAAACCCTTAAACCCTGAAAACTCTGAATACGAAAGCAGAAAACATTGCGTATACGCAGTATTTTCTGCCATTTCTCTTCTCATGTTCGATGACAGGGAATCCTCAATGTTGCAGTCCGGGCAAACCAGGGGGTCTGTGCGTAGTCTTAGTATGATGACAAGATCATAACCTACCTCAATGCAGCATCTCCCTAAACCCTATGATAGTATGGGTTATCTCCATGCTGGCCATTTGTTGTTGCTTATCATAATAGACTCAGTATTCTGAATAATTAATTAAGTTTTTTCCCTTATTCCGGTGGTTCTGGATAAGATCATTATTACCTAACATATTATTGTTTACCATGATAGTGTTTTACATCATATCATTAGTGTTATGTTATTTTGGAAGATTGCCACAATTATTCTTGTTTTACAACACATGAAAAATTATTAACGTTATGTTATGTATTGGAAAGCCAATATTCTTCAGCATCAAACCATAGTTCAGCATGATATTACCACTGGCACCCAGTCCCTCCCTACGGCCGCGGGCCTGCCACGAGAAGCCGGCCATGGGATTCAGCGTCCTCTTCTGCTCTTCCCAGACCTCAACTGGATGCAGCGCGGTTAAAACGCGGTCATCAGTCAGAAGACACGTCAGGGTCGTCAATGGAGCAAACGTTGAACTGTGTGTCTATGTATGTATATATTAATATATAAAGACACTGTGTGCCACACTGTATATATATCTATATCATATGTATATGTATATTAATACATTAATGTATATATATGTGACACTGTGTGTGTGATTCTTTATATATAGAATTATATAAAACATCAGATAAACACACAAATGATGATTAAGTTATGATGATGATCAGTATGATCAGTGTGATCATTGTGATCAGTGTGATCAGTGTGATCAGTGTGGTTTTGTGTTGTTTCTTGGGTGGAACTGGGCTTGGGACCACTAGGTGAAATATTCCGTTGTATTAATTGATATGAATTGATATGAATTGATATTAATTGATATGAATTGATATTAATTGATATGAATTGATATTAATTGATATGAATTGATATGAATTGATATTAACTGATATTAATTGATATTAATTGATATTAATTGATATGAATTGATATTAATTGATATTAATTGATATTAATTGATATTAATTGATGTTAATTGATATTAATTGTATACCATTCTACCCCAACTTTGTAGGATTGTAAGGGCATTGGTTATGCAATCTTATGTACATGTACCATATCTGCTGACTGCCACCCCAAGACCAAGTTCATTCTGCGTATCCTTTTTGCGCAGCTTTGCTGGCAGTTTGAGTCTGGCAACTGGCCATGGTGAAACATCGAGCCACAAACCCTCGATATCCACTGCCTAGACTAGACGTTGACAATGTCTGCATCTTTTCGCGGATGATCGTGATGCCGTTGCTGTCTAGATTGTCCAGGTTGGTGATGGAAACCATTTTGTTACTGGGGCATTCCACCCGAAGGTCTTGATGTAGCAGCTTGGTCCCACCACTCCAGCAGTACGCATGAACATCGGACATCGGCAGTCCGCAGTTCACGGCAGTCATCACGCTCAGCGTTGCGCTGCGCAACAGCAAACAATGCATGTCTCCTCCCTGGCAACGACTCTAGCAGCTTCCGCTCCGGTTGACACCTTGGGAGCCTTGGGTGCCTGGATTTCCAGTCCGTCGCTGCCGGTTTCGCCCAAGCGCCACTCACGGAGTTTCTGGAAGAAACTTAGGCAAATCAGCATACCTATGAGGCAGGTCGCAAAGATGAGTGCAATGAGTGCAGGTTCCATCGGGAGAATCGAGGGGCCACCATACCTGCCCTCAAATGGGTCAACTTCCAAAACGAGTGATCGATTCAGGGTATCTAAATGGTTAATTTGGCCATAATTATGAGCTATTATGATCTACTATATTCCAATCTATCAAGGTTATCAATGCATGATAAACATGGTCAAAACACTAACGTATTATTATGTTGTAAGCTGAGGGGAACTTACAAACCATGGTTGCAAATTTTCTTCCTCTGTGGGCTGGTCGGTTCAACGGTTGTCATCTTTCCAGCACAACAAGCAGCTCATGGAACTTGCCATAGATCTACATGTCTGCAAAAGTATGTGGGTATAATTGATTACCATCATCACTCATTACATATATACAGTTAAGAATCCATTTTACGTCAGGCTAATAACAAAAAATCGGATGCCCCATTCTATGAAATGTGCTTGGGACACATTTTTCCAGTGAATCACCATTGTAATGGTTTAAGATCATAATACTATAGTAATAATCAGTGCTTATCATGTTTAATCATGGTTTTCATCATCATACAGTGGTTATAATCTTGGATTTGCTTAAAGAACACCAAAACCAATCCAAACAATCCCTATAGATTCCCCCCATTGGGAACGTGGATTTCCCATTGGGAAAGTACGCCAAATAATCACTGACTCAGCAAATGTTTATCTGATTTTTCAATAATGATAATTAAGTATAATGATAGTTGGTTACATTGACTAGTCTCTACAATATGTGTTTTATCTTTTTACAAACCCCATATCATCCCGTAGTAGTATCCATATGATCATGATATTATAGTATGTTCCCATCAAAATCAAATTTATATGTGATTACATTCATTTGGATATAAATAGGTATTCGGTATTAATGTTAACTGTATATCTTCATATGATTAGTTCGTATCACAATCTTTGGATCAATTACAATATGAATATACCCAAACAATTGGATTCATCCTCATCTACACAAAACATACTGGTAGTACAATCTTTGATACAGTAATTGGATATTATTCGGTATTATTCATATTACTATAATAATTCGTTCTTCTTCATGATTGTTCATTATTCTTCATTGGTACTATTCTTCCTTGGATATGTTTCAGTACTCTGTTCCCCACCAAATTGGATGTATTTGGAGGGTCTAAGTTATCCCTTCGGCCCATGGTAAGAAACACAATAATAATAATCATTGATTATTGCGAGTATTATTACTCAATTATTATCAGTCAAATCATCATCATCATCATCATCATCATAGTCATCATCATCATCATCATCATCGTCATCGTCATCGTGGTCAGTCTTTGATAGTCCGTCCCCATAAAATCCTTTGCTGGTTGTGGTTATTTTCCATTTAACCCATCCAAATCATCCAAGGTTGGGATGTTTTCATATTCTAATAATAATCTATGTCGTTCATTTATCTATATAGTCTATATTGCTATACTTTGTCATTCTTCATTATTCTGTGGATACTATTCTTCATTGGATATTGTCCAGTACTTGCCAGTACTCTTTATATTGCTATGGATATGTTTCATTAATTCATATGAAGATATCCAAACAGTTGGATGAATCATGATCTAAAAAAACATATTACAATCTTTGATAACTGGATATTCTTCAGTATAGTTATTGTCTATATGGATGCTTCCTGAAATATAGCTACCCCTAAATCAGCCATTTATAGATATTTATAGATGGATTTTCCCTTGTAAACCATCTGGCTATTGTAGTACCCCCATTGATGGAAACCCCCATATGGCTATGGATCAATACCTATAGATACCATTTTTAGGGGAATGAACATCCATAAATCCCAGCTATTTTGATGTGATCACCAGGGGTACTATTGGTTTTGACCCATCCCCATATGAAGATAACAATCTTTGGATCCTGTCACCAAGGCACGTCCAGGGAGATTCGTTGCGCGGCCTGATCCATACGACGCCCGGTGATCAAAATGTCCTGCGCTGAGGGATTGAAATTTTCATCAACGCTACCAGATGTTTGGGGATTTCACATGATGTTAACCACGTTAACCAGCTTGAAAATGAGGATTTCGGTGATTTTTCATCGCAGTCTATTGGGATTTACTGGTGGGATTTATAATCAGATTTGAGCCAGGTGAAATTGTTGTTGCAAAAAAAAAAGAACCTAGGTCGACAAAAATCTACCGTAAAAGCCGGGCACCACCTCCTACACCCTCAATAGCCATGTTAGAATTTGGGGAGTCAAAATTTAAGCCCTACAGTGAAGGCCTTTAGCCACATCAACTTTTTTGGGGCAGTGTAATTCCTATGCGGGGAAGTCGATGCGACCCCTTCACATCATGGTCACATCAACCATGCGAAATCGCTTGGGGGAAGGCTGCATTTTGATGGTTCAAAAACAAGAAAAACTAAAGACGTGTGGTGAAAATCTTATGTTTTCACCACTGTTGATGTTTAGGGGGAAGTCTTATGATTGGATTTTTTTGGGGACCACAGATTTTAGTATATATACATGTTTAGTATTAGCTACTAATTATATCTAATTACCCTCTGGTGAACTAACATAGCAATGGAAAATCACCATTCTTAATGGGAAAACTCACTATAAATGGCCATTTTCAATAGCTATGTTAAATTACCAGAGGGTAATGCCCAATTTTGACCTACCATTTAGACGTACCAATAATTGCTGTTCTGGCCCGAAACCGATCGGATTCAACGAAATAAAAAATCCCAATTTTGAGGTCTGGGAATTTTCCGAACATGTGTTACCCGGCCTGGTAAACTAACAGTTTGCTATTGAAAATGGCCATAGAAATAGTGGATTTACCCATTAAAAATGGTGATTTTCCATAGTTTTTTGTTAACGTTTACCAGAGGGTACTGTAGTTTCACAACCAACAATCAACATTATACTCATATGAGTAACATAAACCACAATATTAGCATAAAACCAATATGAATAAAGTGAACATGTTTATAAACTCAACCTTACCTTGTGAAGCTGAAAATAAAGGTGGTTTTTATTCGTCCATCATGCGGGGTGATAAACGTTTCATCAACCATTCGTTACAAAATTAAGGTGGCAATGATCACCAAAAAAGGTCACCAACTGCAACAACTGCACCCTGCGGAAAAACACCATGAGATGAGTGGGTACATGCATAGATCATCCACTTTTATAACCCACATAGATATGGATCTGTATTAGTATAGTATAGAAATACAGATCGAAGTTGACATTGCACAAATTTATGTGCTGCCTCATGTTCGATGGCCATGGATTTACAAGGCTGAAGTTTGGGTGTGTCTGAAAATTCAGGAACATTCCCAAAATTGATGGATGAACGTTATTTTACTATTTTGGGACAAAGCCAGATATCAATTTCCTTAGATATCCCATGAGATATCCTCCTTACATGGTTGGTTAAATCCCCTAGTTTTGATGGTTAAATCATCGTCCCCATCATTCTCCTATTCCTATGGCCTTATCTTTCAACTGAGAGGGTGTATCCCCATGCTATGCACATGAGTTTCGAATTACATGGTTGGTTAAATCCCCAATGTTTATCCATGTTGGTTGGCTAAACCATTATATCCCCATTACATGGCTGGTTTAAAAAAAAAAAACATGATATCCCCAAACAAAATCATATCCCATGAAATATATAAATCATATCCCCTACTATATCCCCTCATTTCTCATGTTATTTGCCTAATAAAAATGGTTGCTGATCCCCCGTGTTGGTCTCCATGTTGGTCAATACGCATTACAGATGTCATCCCCATTTCGTCCCATGACGCATGGCAGCCAGGAAGATCCGCCATAAAGAGTTCGATCATTTTCCCATGGAATATATCTATGTTGGTCAATGGAAATACCATAGAATGGGATATGACATAATAATATATATATATATAGTTATAAAATCAAATGGCGTTTAATAGAAAAACGGATTTCCCCATTGCAAAGTTTATGATTGCCAGAGGGTAACTTTCAATAAGTGGAGATATACTTCACGGGATATTGTGGCATATGATGGGATATGATGAGAAAATAGAAAATAGGCTATATTACCAACTTGATATATGATAATTGGTTGTCTCAAATTCTAGAGGATGTCCCTTGTATATATATATACATATGTATGTATATATCCTATTTTTGTTTAGTACAGTATCTCCTATTTTTGTTTAGTACGGTATCTTCCCTGGTACTGTCTCCGTGACGAAAACCGCGGGCATGCCTTGTTGCACTCCGTCAGGGCACGCTGGAACGGCTCCACCTTGACATGGTGCGGCCGATGACCACAGGTTTGTTTGCAGGCCAAAATGAATATGAAAGTGGTAATAAATAAATAAATAAATATATATATATATGCATATCCATGTGCATATGCATATTCTGACTATGGATATATGTATATATATATACAATTAAATATACATTCATTCACTATGGAGATACATATTTGTCATATATATAATATACACACACTTTCATTGATTATGGATATGTACACTTCCATTGACCGTGGATGCTAATCCCCCATTCGCGATATGGAAATGGATATGAAGGTGCTTGGTGAAATAGGTATACCAGGTATACACAACTCGGGTTTATCCATGTTTATCCCACACATAACCGGCTTAGAATCTCCGTATATTAGTTCCTTACTATTGTAACTGGGATGCACAGCCAATTGGATCTAAGACGTGACCGCAATGAGATGCGACATGTGATGCGAAATAGGCTTTGATCATGTTTGATATGGGGGTTTCCATCAATGGGGGTACCCCAAGAGCTGGATGGTTTATTTGATGGAAAATCCGACTTAAAAAATGGATAATCAATGGGGGTACCCCCATGACTTTGGAAACCTCCATATGATTGGATATGATTGGACATGCAATCTGCAAATATTTAGAGTACCACCAAAACAGTACTTGCAGGTCCTCCACTTGAAGATATCAGTGTATATGCTTCATCCAGAGGTCGATATTAGGAAGGCTCAGCTCATCCCTGGTGGTTGGTGGTGAAAGTGAACGATCATATTAATATTATGCCAAGGTGGTTTAATGGAGAATATGTTATGTTACAGTATGCTCGCATGTCATTGCAGAATCACTGCTACTCTGACGCTCATGATCCATGAACAACTGTTTACTTCAGATTTCAGGGTTTAAAACCTGACAGCATTCTGTCAAAGAATGGAGACGAACCATGGCAAGAAACCACAGATACAAATCATTTGGTAAACCCAACGCTAAACTGTACTCAACTTTATCATTTGTTTAAAACTCAACCTTGCAAAAATTCGATGTAATTGTCATCAAATAAACGCCCATGCCTACTTCCATGAGCCATCATTTACCTACCGACCTGCAATGAAAACCCACAGGTTCCGGAAAAAACTTATACAGTAATAGAACTCTACTTATTTTACAGTTTTTTTCTGATATCAAAATCATCAAAAAAAGTGCGCGCTGGAGAATGCACAACAAAAAAACAACACATAGATTACGTTCCAACATTTCCCCGTGAAACACAGGGCTCTCCCAGTCCGGGTTGTATTTTACAAGGAGGTGTAATAGTTTGACCTCGGCGACCTCAAAGATTCTGAAAATTCGCGGTTCATCTAATTGCCCCAACTTGGGAATCATTATGACTATTACCCTCTGGTAAACTAACGTAACTATGGAAAATCACAATTTTTAATGGGTAAATCCACTATAAATGGCCATTTTCAATAGCTATGTTAAATTACCAGAGGGTAACAACTATCATCCGGGGATGACCATTCGCAAAAAAACAAAAGAAAAGTCATGGGTTCACCGGTTCATCTTCAATCTCACAGAGCATCACAGGATCACAAGTAAAATCAAAAAAACTCCAAGGCTCCAAATTATATAGCTAGTTACAGATCAAGGTGAGACAATCCTGCAAGTCAGAAATTGGGATGATTCAAAAAAAATGGCAGGATCCATAGAAACTGGCCCTTTGCAATCTCCCAATATCCATAGCAACTTCAATCCTGAGCCAGAATGCTGACCTTCTAGCCAGGTATACCACCATTCAGTGTACCCTCTGGTAAACGTTAACAAAAAACTATGGAAAATCACCATTTCCCACCATTTCTATGGCCATTTTCAATAGCAAACTGTTAATTTACCAGAGGGTTTCTGGTAAATTAGAATGTTTCACTAACCCGATATACGGCTACATCGAGGATAATTTCCCGAAACCTAATCACTATTCCAGGCTTCGGTCGCAGGGTTCGGTCGGTATACTTACCCAAATATATGTCATATTGCATCAGTATTACATCCCCTTACATCATGTTCTATCAGGTGATGTTCCGAATCCCATTATCAAAAAACACCACTAAAACACCACGAAAACACCATGATATATATATACATATACATAAACTATATAAACTATATAAACTATATAAACTATATATATATATATAAATCTACCCAGAGGTATAGGAACTAGCACTGGAATCATCCAGCGGGTACACAAAAAACAAACCCTCATCCCAAAAATCGCCCACCTTGCTCACGAAATCGAAGTCCGCAGAGTCCATCTCCTAGATTTCTGGTTTTTGCTACAGCTATACTCGGATATTTATATAACATAGACCCGGGCAAGCCGGCGGCGGAAGTTTCCCAAACATAAATGACCTATAGTTCAAAGACACCCTGTCCCGACCGTGTCCTTCCCTCGACACTCCACACCTCACACTGCACACTGCACTCTTCGCACTCCAAACTTCAAACTTCACACTCCACACTTCACACTCCACACTTCTCACTTCTCACTGCTTCCTTCACACTCCAAACCTCACACTTCACACTTCACACTTCACACTGCACACTTCACACTTCACAGTCCACACTTCACACTTCACACTTCACAGTCCACACTTCACACTTCACACTTCACAGTCCACACTTCACACTTCGTACTTCACAGTCCACACTTCACACTTCACAGTCCACACTTCTCACTTCGCATTTCACACTTCACACTCCACATTTCACACTTCTCACTTCTCACTGCTTCCTTCACACTCCAAACTCCAAACTTCACACTTCACACTTCTCACTTCGCACTTCACACTCCACACTTCTCACTTCTCACTGCTTCCTTCACACTCCTAACTTCACACTTCTCACTTCGCACTTCACACTCCACACTTCACACTCCACACTTCACACTTCTCACTTCTCACTGCTTCCTTTCCACTCCAAACTTCACACTCCAAAACTCACACTTCACACTTCTCACTTCGCACTTCGCACTCCATACTTCACTCACACTTCACACTTCACAGTCCACACTTCACACTTCTCACTGCTTCCTTCACACTCCAAACCTCACACTTCACACTTCACACTTCACGCTGCGCTCTTCGCACTCCACACTTCCCAGTCCACACTTCACACTTCTCACTTCTCACTTCGCACTTCTCACTGCTTCCTTCACACTCCAAACTTCACACTTCTCACTTCGCACTTCACACTCCACACTTCACAGTCCACACTTCACACTTCTCACTTCTCACTGCTTCCTTCCCACTCCAAACTTCACACTCCAAACTTCACACTTCACACTTCTCACTCCGCACTTCACACTCCACACTTCACTCACACTTCACACTTCACAGTCCACACTTCACACTTCTCACTGCTTCCTTCACACTCCAAACCTCACACTTCACACTTCACACTCCGCTCTTCGCACTCCACACTGCACAGTCCACACTTCACACTTCTCACTTCACACTTCTCACTTCTCACTGCTCCCTTCACACTCCACACTTCACACTTCTCACTTCGCACTTCACACTCCACACTTCACAGTCCACACTTCACACTTCTCACTTCTCACTGCTTCCTTCCCACTCCAAACTTCACACTCCAAACTTCACACTTCTCACTTCGCACTTCGCACTTCACACTCCACACTTCACTCACACTTCACACTTCACAGTCCACACTTCACACTTCTCACTGCTTCCTTCACACTCCAAACCTCACACTTCACACTTCACACTTCACACTGCGCTCTTCGCGCTCCAAACTTAAACTTCACACTCCACACTTCACACTTCTCACTTCCCACTGCTTCCTTCACACTGCACACTTCACACTGCACTCTTCACGCCCCACACTTCACACTGCTCTAAACCTACGTGCAACAAAAAAACACTAGCGCCAAAATGGAGAAAATCTGCTAACAAATCCATGTCACAGCCTTCATGCAGCCACTCCAATACGATTTACGAGATCGAGCTGCAAAAGACAATAGTATGACAAATGCAGCCACAGCACGAAGCAACCTTGACGCAGCCATTACAATGCGATCTGCAGAGACTGAGTTGCAAAACACAATAGAACTACGCGCAACGGCGTCAGAAATTGTAGCTCCAAAACCGGATCTCGACGCCAGAGCGAAAAAAAGACGATTTTGAAGCGCTTTTTAAAGGGATTTTTAGAAGGAAAATCACTAGCGCCAAAATGGAGAAAATCTGCTGACAAATCACTGTGGCAGCCTTCATGCAGCCACTCCAATACGATTTACGAAGTCGAGCTGCAAAAGACAATAGTATGACAAATGCAGCCACAGCACGAAGCAACCTTGACGCAGCCATTACAATGCGATCTGCAGAGACTGAGTTGCAAAGCACAATAGAACTACGCGCAACGGCGTCAGAAATTGTAGCTCCAAAACCGGATCTCGACGCCAGAGCGAAAAAAAGACGATTTTGAAGCACTTTTAAAAAGGATTTTTAGAAGGAAAATCACTAGCGCCAAAATGGAGAAAATCTGCTGACAAATCACTGTCGCAGCCTTCATGCAGCCACTCCAATACGATTTACGAGATCGAGCTGCAAAAGACAATAGTATGACAAATGCAGCCACAGCACGAAGCAACCTTGACGCAGCCATTACATTGCGATCTGCAGAGACTGAGTTGCAAAACACAATAGAACTACGCGCAACGGCGTCGGAAATTGTAGCTCCAAAACCGGATCTCGACGCCAGAGCGAAAAAAAGACGATTTTGAAGCACTTTTTAAAGGGATTTTTAGAAGGAAAATCACTAGCGCCAAAATGGAGAAAATCTGCTGACAAATCACTGTGGCAGCCTTCATGCAGCCACTCCAATACGATTTACGAAGTCCAGCTGCAAAAGACAATAGTATTACGTATGCAGCCAAAGCAGGAAGCAACCTTGCAATCCCATTTGCATTGCGGGAAGGATACTACAGTTGCAAATCACAATGGAATTCCATTGGCAACTCATCCACCAGCGCCACTTGCAATCCCATTTACATTGCGGGAACGATCCTACAGTTGCAATTCACAATGGAATTCTGTCGACCGCACATAGACGAAACACAGTTGAAACCCCGTTTACAATGCGGAACCGATCCGAGACCGATCCGACCATGATCCGAGGATGATCCGATGATGATCCGACCACACACGAGACCGTCTCGCACCCGTCGCACCGCAGAGGTAGATCATCGAAGTTCGTGGACACACTTTGTATGGAAAAACATAGGGTTTCGTGCATCTGCTATCTCTCAAAAACGCATTTCGTGCGAGACTTCCTCCAAAACTCCATCGGCAACTCATCCACCAGCACCACTTGCAATGCCATTTACAGTGAGGGAACGATCCTAGAGTTGCAAATCACAATGGAATTCCATCGGCAACTCATCCACCAGCACCA